TATATATATATATATATATATATATATATATATATATAATACCAAGAATCTTACTAAAATTTTGAACAAATACGGAAAAGAAAAAGATTTTTTAAAGCATTTCTAATAATAATTGCTTTGAGATATTAATTGTAAGCTGATTTCTTATTATAATTTTTTAAAAACAAATTAAAAAACACATATTTTGAATTAATATTTTTAACTAAACGAAACTAATTTTAAACGAAAAAAATTATTTTTAAAAAGATAATTTTTTTTATTAAATCTAAGTAAAAAAAAAGAAAAAAAATACACAGATACTCATAAATATTTTACTTTAGATTTTTGTATGCGCTTTTTTCTTATAGATTTATATTTTTTATTCATTTCTCATTGGTGTTTTGTGGAGGGAAAGAAAAATCTTCATAGGCCTGACATCATATTGATCATGGAAAAGATCATACGTATGTTTTATAATATTAACTGCTATTTTTTTATGTCGAGAAATCACATTTTTTCTGTAAAGTTTTTTTTTATTGTAAAAGCAATTTATTTGTTTTATTTTTTCTGAGATATATTTGCTTCTATGAAACAAAATAACTAACCTAAAAAGCCTCTCTAAAAGAAACCTCTCTATAAAACCTCTTATCTTCTTTCTCGAAAGAAAATCCTACGTCTTCAAGAATCCGATATAAAGTTTAATTAACGGCTACAAAATCAAGAGAACAAAAAAAAAGAAAAAAACAAGCTATCAAAACAAATGATTAGAAAACAAGTGATTAGAAAAAAAAACAAGTGATTAGAAAAAAAAAATAAACATGGAATTGCAAAAAAAATAAAAATTAATAACTATTAAGAAACAAGCAAAAAGTAAATAAATAGCAAAAAAGAAGTCGCCAATGTAAGAAATTGAAATATAGAGCGAAGGCTAACAGATTCGAAAGAGTAATAAAACAGCAAAAGAGTAAGCGCCAATCGGCTCTTTGGAAACTAAAACACCTCCTTCTTCTTTGTACATTCGCTTTCCTGAGAAGGTATTTTTAAGTTAAATACATTTAAACGTGATAAAACTTTTTAAACATGTTTCAAGATATACATTTCTTATTATAAAACATTTATTTATATTTGTGTGCACATTTAAAGTATAATTAATTTCAAACCAGCGAAGAACTACTTTTTAAAGGCGTAGTATTACAACCTTTCCCTGAGTGCCAACTTTAGGTGAAACGAAGTATAGATGGCGCTATTTCAATAACATCCACTTGCGTACATCCAATAACTCCAATAGATAACTCATCAAAAGCTCACATCAACTCACTGATAAGAACAGATGTTGTCTCCTCAATGAATAAAAAGTATCATTATACAAGTATTTTTTGAGTTTCAAAGAGGTAAATAATTCGTTTTTAAAAATGGATTTGAAGTTCGTTCTTTTTTAGCTATTTTATATTAGAGACTGACTTAAAAAAGTTTTTTTTTAAATTTATAAAATTCTTCGCAACCAATACTACGGATTATAAGTTGGAAAAACAGAAAAAATGACAGATCTTCAGAATCCTAAAACTGTAAGTATTTTTACATGAAATATTGTATTTAAGTTATTTTCAATTTGGTATATTTCAATGAAAAAAATTTCAAGTAAACATTTATGCACAATATATATTTACTACTAAGCAATTATAATTGTTAGATAACCAACAATTTATTGCAAGCACTGACGTTGGATTAACGACCATGGTGGATGGGTAGTATAAAACGTAAATTAGTTATTTCAGATCTTAGTAAATCATTTCAAATATGAGCTCATGACTTTATTTAAATCTTAATAACTTTTCATAAGAAACTTAATTTAAATACTTTAGATAATAAAAAACTTCATAAAAATTACAATGAGTGATAAAGCAATAGTATCCTTGCTTGAAAAATGTTCATTTGTTTTTAGACGTACGGATTGACGCGATGTTTTTTAACGTAGGACTATCGGGAAAAACATTCATTTATTTTTTTTATTTGATAGAAATAGTTATTTGTTTTCAAACAGAAATTTGTTTGGTTTCGTATTTTGTTAGTTAATTTGAATTAGAGACTATTTAAAAAATTTATTTTTGTTAATTATTGAAATTCTTCATTATCATTACTACGAATTATAAATCGGATTAACATACATATATGACAGGTCTACAAAAGCCTAAAAGTGTGAGTATTTTTACTTAAAAAGGAGCATTAAAGTTATTTTTAAGATGATATATGTAAACATTTCAATAAAAAATTCATACAGAATCTATATTTTTTTTTACTATAAAATTATAAATGTTAGATTACCAACAATTTATTGCAGGCACTGACGTTGGATTAACGACCATGGAGGATGGGTAGTATAAAACGTAAATTAGTTATTTCAGATCTTAGTGAATCATTTTAAATATGAGCTCATGACTTTATTTAAATCTTAATAACTTTTCATAAAAAGAATAATTGAAATACTTAAGATAATAAATGTCTTTAAAATAATTACAATGACTGATATATCAATAGTATCCTTGCGTGAAAAATGTTCATTTGTTTTTAGACGTACGGATTGACGCGATGCTTTTTAACGTAGGACTATCGGGAAAAACATTCATTTATTATTTTTTATTTTACAGAAATAGTTATTTGTTTTCAAAAAGGAATTTGTTTGGTTTCGTATTTTGTTAGTTAATTTAAATTAGAGACTATTTAAGAAATTTTTTATTGTTAATAAATGAAATTTTTCATTATCATTACAACGAATTATAAATCGGATTAACATACATATATGACAGGTCTACGAAAGCCTAAAAGTGGGAGTATTTTTACTTAAAAAGAAGCATTAAAGTTATTTTTAAGACGATATGTGTAAACATTTCAGTAAAAAATTCATACGCAATCTATATTTTTTTACTATAACAATTGTAAATATCAGATACCCTACAGCCCTACAGGTATCTGATACAGGATGGGTAGTACAAAATGCAAATTAGTTATTTCAGATCGTAGTGAATTGTTTTGAAAGCTCGTGGATTTTAATAAATCTTACAAATTTTTCACATAAACTTAATAGAATATTTTAAAATATTTCAGATTAAAAAAAACTTTGTAAAAATCATGTTGGGAGATAAATCAATAATACTCTTTTGTTGAAAAATATCCATCTGTTTTGTTTGTTTTTTTACCTGTCAAAATTACTTATTAGTTTTTAAAAAAGTAATTGTTTGGTTTAGAATTTTGTTAGATATTTTTAATTAGAGACTGGTTAAATCCGTTTTTGTTCATTAATGAAATTCTTCATTATCATTACTATGGATTATAGATTGGATTAACATATAAATATGACAGGTCTCCAAAAACCTAAAAGTGTAAGTATTTTCATTAGAAAAAAAGCATTAAAGTTAATTTTAATATGATATGTGTAAACAATTCAATGAAAAATTCATACATAATTTAATTTTTTTCTACTACGATTACTACTATTTCTACTATTTACAATTACTACTAGTATTTACATTTGTATAAAATTGTAAATGTTAGATCCCCAACAACTTATTGCAAGCTTGGATAGTGGATTAACAACCATGGAGGATGAGTAGTATAAAATGCGAATTAGTTATTTCAGATCTTAGTGAATTGTTTAAATTAAAGCTCATGGATTTTATTAAATCTTACTAATTTTTCACATAATTTTAATCGAATGTTTTAAAATATTTTAGAAAATAAACAACTTTTCCGAAATCATGTTGGGTGAAAAAGCAATAATGCCCTTGTGTTGAAAATTATTCATCTAGTTTGTTTGCTTTTTGCCTGACAGAAGTAATTATTTGTTTTTAAAAAAGCTATGGTTAGGTTTAGTATTTTGTTAGTTATTAGAGACTGGTTAAGTCCATTTTTGTTAATTAATGAAATTCTTCATTATCATTACTGCGGATTATAGATCGGATTAACATAGAAATATAACAGGTCTACAAAAACCGAAAATTGTGAGTATTTTTACTAGAAAAAAAGGATTAAAGTTATTTTTAATCTATGTGAACATTTCAATAAATAATTTAGACACAATTTATATATTTTCCACTCTACTATTGCTACTATTTATACTATTTAAAATTACTATTATTGAAAAATACTACTATTTACAATTGTATAATTGTAAATGTTAGATACCCAACAACTTATTGCGAGCATGGATAGTGGCTTAACAACCATGGAGGCTGGACAGTAAAAAATTGAAATTAGTTATTTCAGATCTTGTAATTTTTTTAAATAAAAGCTCATGGATTTCATTAAATCTTACTAATTCTTCACATAAACTTAATACAATCTTTAAAAATATTTTAGATAATAAACAATTTTCCAAAAATCATGTTGTGTGATAAAGCAATAATGACCTTGTGTTGAAAAGCATTCTTTTATTTTAGGGTATTTTCAAACTGTTATTTATACATTCTACATTCATATATATTTCAGTAAAAAAATAAAAATGGTATACACTTATTACTAGATACTTTTAAACTTTAGATAGGTGCAATATATTGCAAAGCTCACAGATTTATTTAACAATCATGAAAGATGGATTGCATGAAATGAAAATTTATTTCAGGGAATCGATTAGTATTACCTTAGTGCTTACATATAAACCTTATAAGAATATTTTAAACAATAAACAACATTACAAAATATAAGTAACTTTACAATTTACTGCAATGCACGTATGTGGGATTAACAGCCACAGATAATGGGTTGCATAAAATTTAAATTGGTTATTTTATATCTTTGTTTATTGATTAATATTAACTTGGATTTCTCATATAAACTTTATAAGAATATTTTAAATAGTAAAAACTTTGAAAAGGTAACCAACTTTACAATTTAATAATTTATGACAAAACATGCATATTGGATTAACAACCATAGAAGACAGTTCGTTGTTTATTGGTTAGTATTAACTTAGAGTTTTCATATGAACTTCATAAGAACATTTTAAAATATTTTGAGTAGTAAATAACTTTAGAAATAGGGTAAACCAACCAGTGAAGGAACACTACCCAGTAAAGGAACATTTCATATATATTGATTAAAAATAAGAATTTGAAAGTTTGTCTTTAGATTGATTGGTAACAATAGCTTACTGCCAAACAATACGAAGTCATCTAGCAATGTTTTGGATTACCTGGTCACATAGACTTCTGTGGAAAAAATTTTGAATTTGTTATTATCTCAGGAAGACCTTGCTTCTTTGAAAAAATTATAAGGCGAGTGTTTGTATTTATATGTTTGAAGAGGGATTAATTGCATGTAATAGTTTTATTTTTCTCACTGTGAAAAGGAGAATTCAAAATATAGTTATTGAAGTTACGTTTTATTTTAAGCATCATAACATAATAAAGTACTGAGATAAGGGGGTGTTTATGCACTGGATCACCAAACGATGAAAAACCAGTGAAGGAACAAGTATTCCTTTACTGGGTTTTTTTCTAAGTTAATGAAAATAAAAGATAAACTTTAATTTTCTTGTACCTTTAGTGATGTTCCGCATCAAAAGTATGCTAAAAACACAAAAAAAAAACTTCTAACCAGTGAGGGAACGGGCATATTCCTTTACTGGGCATAAATTTCCCAGTGAATGAACAGTATGTGTTAATATGTTGACGCTTTAATTTTCAATTCATGATTACAAAAAATAGTTAACATTTTCCAAGTATTTATATGTTGTAATTTCAAGAATAGGCTTTTTTTTAAATATTTGTATGGCTTATAAATTCATAAAGAGCATTAAAAAATAACCAAAATTAAGTGTTGTTTTACTGGTTGTTCATTCACTGGTAAGAGCTGTTCCTTCACTTGGTCTTCTTACTACTTGTTATTTGAACTTCCAAAACTTTGAAACAATATTATGTAAGTTCTCTACAATTGTTTTACATAATTTGCAATTAGTAACAAATATGTTGACACTGTCATTTAACTAAAATTACAAATTTTGAAATTAATATGATTTTTTAAAAGGCAAGCAGAGCTTAAGTGTTCCTTCACTGGTTAGTTTTCCCTAATAACAATTTTGAAACATTTTGCAAGGCACGCATATTGAATTAAAAACTATGGAAAATGGTTTGCATAAAATGTAAATTAATTATCTCTCAATTTAGTTCATCGATAAACAGCCATGGTATAATAGAAATAGTATAATAGTGATTTAATAGTTAAGTCCTTAAGTTGAAAGCATTCATTTGAAATAAATTTATTTTTAAATTGCTTCTATTGTCTTATAAGTTTTAATCGAGGTTTTTAATAAAATTGTCCAACTAGATGCAATTTTTACAAAGTACAAGATTTAAAATTTAATTGCATTAATAACAATTGAATCAGATTTTTTTTAGCAGATAAAAATGTAATACCAAATTATTGGAAATAAAAATCATAGAAATTTGAATCACAGAAAAATCGAAATATTTTAAAAATCCAATAATACTTTTATCTCTCAAAGTTTAAAATCTAAATCTGTGACAAAAAAAGTAGTGTTTCTATGAATGTAAAAAATCATAACAATTAATAA